CATCTTCTCTAGCATCTGTTGTTTCCTAAATTGTTAATTTTAGCCATTCTGACCAGTGTGAAGTGATATCTCACTGTGGTTTTGATTGGTATTTCCTTGATGTCAAGTGATGTTGAACATTTTTTCATGTGTCTGTTGGGCATTTGTATGTCTTCTTTGGAGAAATGTCTGTTCATGTCCTCTGCCCATTTCTTGCCTGGATTTTTTGTTTTTTGGAGTATTGAGTTTGATAAATTCTTTATAGATATTGGATACTAGCCCTCTGTCTGATAGGACATTTGTGAATGTCTTCTCCCATTCCATAGGCTGCCTTTTAATTTTGTTCATTGTTTCCTTTGCTGTGCAAAACCTTTTATCTTGATGAAGTTCTAATAGCTCATTTTTTATTTTGTTTCCCTTGCCTTTGGAGACATTTCTAGCAAGAAATTGCTGTGACTGAGGTCCCAGAGGTTGCTGCCTGTATTCTTCTCTAGGATTTTGATGGATTCCTGTCTCACATGTAGGCCTTTCATCCATTTTGAGTTTACTTTTGTGTATGGTGTAAGAAAATGGCTCAGTTTCATTCTTCTGCGTGTGGTTGTCCAATTTTCCCAACCCCATTTATGAAGAGATTGCCTTTTTTTCCATTGGATATTCTTTCATGTTTTGTTGAAGATTATTGAACCATATAGTTCTGGGTCCATTTCTGAGTTCTCTATTCTGTTGCATTGATCTCTATTGTCTGTTTTTTTTTTACGATTTTTAAAATTTATTTATGATATATATATAGAGAGAGGCAGAGACATAGGCAGAGGGAGAAGCAGACTCCACGCAGGAAGCCCGACGTGGGACTTGATCTTAGGACTCCAGGATCGCACCCTGTGCCAAAGGCAGGCGCTAAACCACTGAGCCACCCAGGGATCCCCCTGTTGTCTGTTTTTATGCCAGTACCATTCTGTCTTGAATTTATTTATTATAACTACTCTAAATATTTTATTCCATTATACTCTAAATCACTGACTCCAAACTCCTGTAATAATTTTCTTTTTCAGTGATAGCATTTTCAGTTTCTGTCTTACATGTTTGCCCATTTGAGTTCATTCATGTAACATTCATAAAGCATTGTCTATCATATCTTCAGAACACACAGAAAATGTTGGTTTACTAGAGCACAAGATTGTCTCCTCTCTCTTGTACTCTATATAGTACTAGCATCTTGCCTTGTATATTATTTTCACTCAAACATTTGATGAAATAAATTTATTTGTGAACAAATGCGTATCGAATTATTTTGTCAATTACAGGATAAGGATAGGGGAATTTAACTTACTTTCAAATGAAATGTTTATATTAGTGTTATCATTTAGCCAAGTATTTCTTGCTCCTTTACCATTAGGGTCAAGATAACATATTTTTATACTTGGGCATTGATTTTGTAGCAGAAAGAGCAAACTTGTAGCAGGCATGCTACCAGTTGTGCTCCTGTGGCCATTAAAAGTGGTGATAAGTATAAAATACTTATCTATAAAGCTTGGATTCTTTCTCAGAATCCTTCTCTATGCTGTGCTGTTGATAGTTACTATAAGTGATTAGAGGAAGAACATATTATTGAATATTTAAATACTTAGTAGATCAAGTGAGAATATTATATGTGAATCTTGCCTTAAATACAGTTGGTTCTTAAGCAAAAGGGTTTGTTTGGGTAGGTCCAATTATACATGGATTTTTTACAGTATAGTTCTGTGAATGAATTTTTCCATGATTTTCTTAGTAATATTTTCTTTTCTCTAGCTTACTTTGTTGTAAGGATACATTATATAATATGTATAACATAGAAAATATGTGTTAATCAAGTGTTTATGCTATTGGCATGAGGCTTCTAGTCAATAGTAGGTTATTAGTAGTTAAGTTTCTGCGGAAGTCAAAGTTATATGTGGATTTTTAACTACTCAGGGGATCAGCACTCCTAAACCCTGTATTGTTCAAGGGTCAACTGTAATTAAAAAAATATTTTCTATTTAAGTGGCAAAGAGTTCTTGTGGAAGGAATGAATATAACATGGTCTGTGGTGTTCATGAGACAGTCAAGAAAAGGTAAGATAATTTTTTAAAATCATGAATTGGTTGAATCTTGAAAAATTATAAATATCATGTAACTAGTTCTCAACTGCAGACATAGAATATACTTAAAGATAGAGAACATATATTAGTCATTATATCTCATGACCACTAAGGTTTTCTAATATGTTATGAATAATAGTGTTGGATTTTTTTACTATCTGACGCAACTGAACTCTTTATTTTTTAAAAAAGGTACAGCTGTTAACTTTACTCTCAACTGTAATATAATATTTCTAAATCTACATTTTATTACCATTCATTAAAATAAAGGATAATGGTAACTATTAACACAATGGCTGTTAATCTGATGGAACATTTTTTAGTTTTACAAGGCTGTCTGTATAAATAATCATTAATCTTGAGGATATCAAAAATAAAAGACTTAGAAACACTCAGTTTTTAATTTTTAAAGACATTATAAAACTGAGTTCTAATGGCAGAAAACCCATAAAACAAAGTCTTGAAATCTTTTTCATGTTTTGTATATAAAATAAGAATTTGGCTCAGTTATTTCTGCATTCTTTAGTTGTTTGTTCAATTTCTCATTGCTAATCTAAATTAATAAATACTTTGAGAATAGTCAATCTTCTAAAATAGGAAAATGTTTTTATGTAAATAAAGAGTATATATTTTATGTGATAAATCTTTGCCCAAACTTTCACCAATCAAGAAATTTAATATTTTTAAGGGCATGTTTAAATAGGTGAATTAGAGGTTTAGGTTTTCCAAAAGGTCTTTCCGAAGATTTCCTAAAAGAATAATTTTAAGGCTAAGATGGTTATAATATAGATTTTTTCCCATAGAGCAAATATTAAGAAAATATCTGATATTATGACTTTATAGAAATTTAATCTCAGAAATAGTGAAGCATAAAACTGAATGTATGAGAAAAGGAACTGATTTGTTAAAATAGCCAAATCAATAAAGGTTAATGTCAAAGAATAAAACTGAATTCTGATGAATTCCCATGACCAAGCAGATTGATTTGGTGTTTCATTTATTTATCATTTCATTTATTTTCAAGGTTTAGAAATTGAACTATGCTTCAACTGATGAAAATTATATTAGCTTTGCAAGATATGAAATTCACAGCCTTTTTACTTGGAATGTTGAAAAATAAATTCTCTGTTTTAAAAGTAAATCTATTTTATTTAGCCTTTTAAAAAGATTTAAAATCCTGTCAAATGCTAAGCAAAGCAAAGAGATTTTAAGGAAATGATTTTTACTTATATTTTAATACATACTATGCTGACTCTTAGGACAAAGGAAAAACTATTGACATTTGTCTAACAATTTCCTTCTAAACATATTCTCATTTATTATAGAATATACACCAACATATTAACTTTTATTAGACCATTTTATTGAAATAGGCTGATGTAATTTAGTTTACAGAAAATAGTAGAAATACATATTACCTTCTTATTGTCAAAGGAAGGAAATTAATGAAGAAAATTTTAATGACTAATCATTCATGAAATTCATTTCATTTTTATGGGGTGATATTTAGATATATTTAATTCAAAATGAAACCACAAATTATCCATTGAAGATTAAAATTGGGCATCATAATTTGACAGGCAGACTAATGTCTTTCCAGTCATCCTAAACCACAGAATCTATGACTATGTTAAATTACATGGCAGAAGGTAATTAAGATCAAAGATTGAATTAAATTTGCTAATCAGCTGACCTTAAAATAAGGAGAATATTCTGGATTATTCAGGTGGGTCCATTGTACTCCTAGAGGTCCTTAAATATGTAGGGAGGAGCAGAATAGTCATTAACAGAGTGAATGCTATGTGAGAGATTCCAACAACCATTGCTGGCTATAAATATAAAGGGGGTTCACCAGCCAAAAAATGCAGGTGGCTTGTAGAAGTTTGAAAGCAAGAAATTGGATTCTTCTCTAGAATGTCTAGAAAGGAACACAACCTTGATGATGCCTTGATTTTAGACCAATAAAACCCATTTCAAACATTTTACCTTCAGAACTGCAAGATTATAGATTTGTGCTGTTTTGTACCACTGTTTGTGGCAATATGTTACAATGATAGGAAATGAACACAACCATAGAAATTATTTTTTGGACATCTTAGGTTAAAATTTTGAGACCAGTTGAAGGAGAAGTACCTAGCAATAATAGTAGTCACAGTTACCTTTAGCAGCATTGGCTATTCTGGTTAAATTTTATAAAGCTCTTCTTTGTGAGTATCTCATGTGCTCTTCATTATAATTTAGCCAGGTAAAAAGAGGCTATGTTGGTGCATATTCTATAACTATGGTACTGAGCTCCAGAGAAGTGATGTGGCATAAACAGAGATGGGATTCAGTCCTTTATCTTCTCTTGTTGAATCCTGGGCTCTTTGGCCTGTACTGATAGCCCAGCACTGGTAGACATTGAAGACTTTTAACAAACATGAGGCTTGTTTTATTTCCAAGAGCTTAATTACAGTTTGAAGGGTTGGCAGCTGCTTGGGTTTCAAACCAACCTTAAAAGTTATGAATATGTCTAAATTTGCTCTTAATAAATCTCAGGTTTTGATTGTGAGTACAAAGAAATTAGAGTTTCTTGTGAGTTTCTATTATGACTTTGAAAAAATGATGAAAAGTTTCATTTCTTTTCTGAGTTAAGGAGATCTATTACTTGTTCAGCTGTTGGGAAAATTGAGAACAAATGATCTCTCTTAGCTATGATTTAATATTTTTCAAGTTTCAATTTACTTGTATAATATATTTTATTTTGAATTTAATATTACTGAACTAATTCAACTTTTATATCAGTCATGATATAAAAAATTCTAGGCTCTTATTAAAGATTAACAATAGATGAAAGGATTGGACTCTGCCCTGGAACATGGTAAGGTAGTGGGGTCAGTGTTGTGTGCCAGTTAAAAGTATGGGATGCCTGAGTTTCAGTTCTGGTTTCCCCTTTCCTAGCTGTGTGACTTTAGGTAAGCCATTTATTTTTCTGTACTACTAATTTTTCATCTGTGAAATGGGGTTTGGAAAAGTTATTTACTTATAAGAGTTACACCAGAATTAATTGGGATAATATGTGGAAAGTATTTAAAACAGTGCTTTGGTGTTCATTGTTATACAATTCCTGTTTAAATTACTTTTAAAAGAGAAGAAAGCCTCTTTTTTTTTTCAAAATTTTATCTATTTATTTTGAAAGAGATAGAGTAGGAGAGGGAGGGCAGAAGGAGAGAGAGAGAGAGAGAGAGAAAGAGAGAGAGAGAGAGAGAGAGAGAGAGAGAGAGAATTTCAAGTAGACTGCATGCTGAGCATGCAGCTTGATGTAGAACTCAATCTCAGGACTATGAGATCATGACCTGAGCTGAAATCAGGAGTCAGTCACTTAACTGACTGAGCCAACCAGGCTCCCCCAGAAAAACCTCTTTTAAAAACAGTACTTCCGGGCAGCCCGAATGGCTCAGTGGTTTAGCACCTGCCTTTGGCCCAGGGCGTGATCCTGGAGTCCTGGGATTGAGTCCCACATCAGGCTCCTTGCATGGAGCCTGCTTCTCCCTTTCCCTGTGTCTCTGCCTCTGTCTCTCTGTGTCTCTCATGAATAAATAAAGTCTTTTAAAAAAATAAAAAAAAACAGTACTTCTTAAGTTCAATATAATTATTTTACCTCAGTTAGTAGTATATCCAAGGTAAACATTTTGCACCTGCAATAAGAAAACCAGTGCTTTGATGATACTCCAAAGAATTTATTTTCTAAGAAATAAAAAGGTTTGTCTTCAAACTGGAGCTGTTTAACTATACATTAATAGAGACAGCAACCACATGGAATTTTTAAAATGTGGTATAAAAATTATCAGTAAGTTCTCTAGTGGAACATTCTTTCCATTTCCCTATTCTATATACCACATGAAGAGGAATAAACAATTTCCCAGAATTGCCAAAATCTTAGCATTTTTACTGAAAACTTCATCATGTTTTATTGTTTTCCGCATGTTACCTTTAAAATTGGTGACAATGGTTATGAGTAAAAAAAAATCAGAAAGAAAACCCCAAAGACCAAAATCAAAAACCCCCAAATAACAATGGAACAAATTTGCAATGTGAAAACTTAGGTAAAAATAAATATCTTATTAAAACATATACCATCTCTTCTTTATCCACTCATCTATTGATGGACTCTTGGGTTAGTTCTATATCATGGCTATTGTAAATAATGCTGCAATAAATGTAAGGGTACATATATTTTTTTCAATTAGTGTTTTCATTTTCTCTGGGTAAATATCCAGTAGTGGAATTGCTAGATCATATAGTAATTCTATAATTAATTTTTTGAGGAACTTCCATGCTGATTTCCGCAGTGGCTGCACTAATTTGCATTCCTACCAATAGTTCATGAAGGTTCCTTTTTCTTCATATCCTCACCAACACTTGTTGTTTCTTGTGGTTTTGATTTTAACCATTCTGACAGGTGTGAGGTGATATCTTATTGTAGTTTTGATTTGCATTTCCCTAATGATGAATGATATTGAGCATCTTTTTGAGTGTCTGCTGGCTATCTGTATGTCTTCTTTGGAAAATGTCTGTTTATGTCTTCTGCCCATTTTTCAATTCGTTTGTTTTTGGAGTGTTGAGTTGTATAGGTTCTATATATATTTTGGATATTAACCCTTTATAGAATATGCCATTTGCAAATGTCTTCCATTCAGTATGTTATCTTTTAGTTTTGTTGATTGTTTCCTTTGTTGTGCAGAAGCTTTTTATTTTGATCTGCTCCCAAGTAGTTTATTTTTGCTTTTGTTTCCCTCGCCGCAGGAAACATACCTAAAAAATATTGCTTTGGCTGATGTCAGAGAAATTACCACGTGTGCTCTCTTCTATGAGTTTTATGGTTTCAGATCTCACAGAATAGGTCCTTAATCCATTTCGAGCTTGTTTTTATGTATGGTGTAAGAAAGTTGTCTGGTTTCATTCTTTTGCATATAGCTGTCCAGTTATCCCAACTCCATTTGTTGAAGATATTGTCTTTTTTCCATTGTATATTCTTGGCTTATTTATTGAAAATTGATTGACCATACGATTGTGGGTTTATTCTGGCCTCTCTATTCTATTCTGTTCTATGTGTGTGTTCTTGTGCTAGTCCCATATTGTTTTGAATACTACAGCTTTTAGTGTATCTTAAAATCTAGAATTGTGATATTTCCAGTTTTGTTCTCCTTTTTTTTTTTGTTCTCCCTTTGGCTATTTTTGTTGTTGTTGTTGTTTTATATTTGTTTTTTTGTGGTTCCATACAAATTTTAGGATTTTTCGTTTTAGTTCTCTTAAAATGCTGTTAGTATTTTGATAGAGATTGCATTAAATCTGTAGATTGCTTTGGGTATTATGGACATTGTTAACAATATTTGTTCTTTCAATACATGAGCATGGAATATCTTCCCATTTGTTGGTGTTGTCTTCAATCTCTTTCATCAGTGTTTTATAGTTTTCAGAGTACTGGTCCTTCTCCTCCTTGGTTAATACCTCCTTCTATTCCTAGGTTTTTTTTATTATTTTTGGTGCAATTATAAATGGAATTGTTTTCTTAATTTCTCTTTCTGCTGCTTCATTATTGGTATATAAAAATACAATGGATTTCTGTATATTAATTTTGTATCCTGTGACTCTATTGAACTTATTTAGCAGTTCTTTTTTCTCAGGTTTTGTTTTTTTTTTTTCTTCTTCTTCTTCTTTTTTGCAGAGTCCTTAGAGTTTTCTATACATCCTATCATTCTATCTGCAAATAGTGAAAATTTTATTTTCCTTACCAATTTAGATGCTTTTTATTCCTTTTTTCTTGTCTGATTGCTGTAGCTAGATTATGTTAGCTGTGGGTTTTTCATATGTGGACTTTATTATGTTGACATATGTTCTATCTATTCCTACTTTGTTGAGGGATTTTATTAAGAATAGATGTTGTACTTTGTCAAATGCTTTTACTGCATCTATTGAAATATTCACAAGTCATCAACGTGATACCTCACATCAACAAGAAAAGATAAGAACCATATGATCATTTCAAATATAATCTTCAATGAGTAAAAATTGAGAATTTTCCTCTATAGTCAGGAACAAGACAAGAATGTCCACTCTCATCATTTTGATTCAACATCATACTTGAAGTCCTAGATTTTTGTATCTATGTTCATCGGTGACATTAGCCTGTAGCTCTTTTTTTTTTTTTTGTCATGTCTTTATCTGGTTTTGGTATCAGGATAATGCTAGCATCATAGGATGAATTTGGAAGCTTTCCTTCCTCTTCTATTGTTTTGAATAGTTTGCAAAGAATAGGTATTAACTCTTTTTTAAATGTTTGAAAAAAATAAAAAAAAAAAAAGAAAATCCACCCCCCTCCCCCCAAATGTTTGGTAGAATTCACCTGTCATGCAGTCTGGTCCTGGACTTTTGTTTGCTGGGAGGTGTTTTGTTTGTTTGTTGTTTTGCTGACTCTATTCATTGCTAGTAATTCGTTTGTTCAAATTTTCTATTTCTTCCTTGTTCAGTTTTGGAAGTTTATATGTTTCTAGGAATTTTTCCATTTTTTCTAAGTTGTCCAATTTGTTGGCATATACAATTTTTCATAATTTCCTTATAATCCTTAGTATTTCTGTGGTGTCAGTTGTTTCGCCTCTGTCATTTCTGATTTTGTTTGAGTCATGTCTTTTTTTTTATTATGGCTCTGGCTAAAGATATATTAATTTTGTTGATTCTTTCAAAGAACCAGCTCCTGGTTTCTTTGATCTGTTCTCTTGTTTTTGTTTTGTTTTGTTTTGTATGTTTGTTTTTTGTTTTGTTTTGGTTTGTTTTTTTTTGTTTTTTCAGTTTCTATTTTGTTTATTTCTGCTCTAATCTTTATTATTTCCTTCTTTGTACTAGTTTTGGATTTTGTTTGTTCTTCCTTTTATAGCTTCTTTAGGTGAAGGGAATAATTGGATTTTTTTTCTTCTTGATATAGGCCTGTATTACCATACACTGCCCTCTTAGAATAGCTTTTATTGCATCCAAAGATTTTGGACCATTGTGTTCTCATTTTCATTTGCCTCCATGTGCTCTTCCTCTTTGATTTCTTGATTGAGTCATTCATTGTTTAGTAGTGTATTATTTAACCTTATTTGTGTTCTTTCTAGATTTTTTCTTACAGTTGATTGATTTCTAGTTTCATAGTGTTGCAGTTGGAAAAGATATAGGTATGACATCAATCTATTTTAATTTGTTGAGACTTGTTTTATGGTGTAATATGTGATCTCTTGTGGAGAATGTTCCATGTGCACTCAAAAATAATGTCTGTTCTGCTGTTTTAGAATAAAATGTTCTAGGTATATTTGTTAGACCCATCAGGGCTGAAGTGTCACTCAAAGCCACTGTTTCCATATTGATTTTCTGTCTAGATGATCTCTCCATTGATGTAAGTGGGATGTTAAAATCTATTTTTATTTCATTTCTGTCAGTTACTTCCTTTATTATGTTATTAGCTGTTTTATTTATTTCGGTGTTCCCATCTTGGGTGCAAAAATATTTACAATTGTTATATCTTTTTATTGGATTGTTCCCTTTATGATGATGTAGTGTCCTTTTTTGTTGCTTGTTATTGCCTTTGTTTTAAAGTCCATTTTATTTGATAGAAGTAATGCTACCTCAGCTTTCTTTTCATCTTCATTTGCATGATAAATGCCTTTTCATCATGTCACTTTCTACCTGCATGTGTCTTTTGGTCTACAATTAGTGTCTTATAGGTGACACATAGATGAATATTGCTTTTTTACCCATTCTGTTACCCTATGTCTTTTAATTGGAGCATTTAATCCATTTACATTCAAAGTAATTATTAATAGATTTGTAGATATTGCCATTTTGTTACTTGTTTTATGGTTTTTTCATAGTTCTTCTCTGTTCTTCTCTTGCTTTCTTCTCTATTGGATTGTTGGCTTTCTTTAGTGATGTACTTGGA